TGAGGAGATTTTTTTCGCGACGACCGTTGAAACGGCCAGGTTTTAGCGAAAACCGTCGAATCCAACGTTGTTTCTTTTGTTTTGAGTCCATATCTTCATTGGTTCGTTCAGGTACTGAGTTTGGCTGTTGTGTAAACGGCCAGATTTTTAGCGAAAACCGTCGAATCCAACGTTGTTCTTGGATGTATTGTCTAATTGTGGAGCCATGGCAATCAATGGACACGTTGTCTAATATTGTAACGTTCAATAATTCGTTTGAATGTAATTGCACCGTTCTTGATACGTTTATTATTTGTAATTTGTTTTGCTTCTTCTGTCTTTACTCATACCGTATGAGTAGAATTTTGTCTTTACTTATATCGTATTAGTAGAAAATCTTCCTCTGTGTGGATAAGTTTAATTTAATACTAACTTTGCATTAAATTGAATTTTGTAACAAAATATTGGACGATTAAGTTTAAATACCAAATATTAAACCTGAATTGGATAAATTTCATATGAAAATATTTATTGATGTTGATATTTAGGATTCAGCTAGTAATTATTATAATTTTAATTCAATAAATTCAACACCAACTTTGTTTTGCCAAGTATCAAGACTCAGTTGAACAAATTTTAAGTTGAATTGGGCAAGTTTCATATAGAAGTGAATTATTGAATTTATTAAATGCCAAATATTAAGACTAAGTTGAACAAATTTTATATTAAACCGAATTAATTTTATAGTAAATTGACCTAATTTTATATTGAATCGAATAAATTCCATAGTAAATTGAACAGATGTTATATTAAATTGAATAAATTTCATATCGAACTGAACAATTTTTATAGAAGCCGAATTGAATAAGTTTCTTATTATGGAATATTGAAATGGAATATTGAAATTGTATGCCAAATATTAAGAGTAAACGGAGATATCCAATTGATTATCTTAATTAATTTTTCGATTTGGTATGTATTAATCGTCTTTGTAGATTATCGACATTTCTTGTGCCAAGTATTGGGATAATTTCATTTATTGGAGATTTATCAAAATATTTCTGCCATAAGATATGAAATTTAATTGGAAATGTCTTCATACTTGAACAATAGGTAAAGTGGAAGAATATTGATTTCTCGTAATTCATCAGTAGTTTATCCTTACTAGGAGAATCTATAATCCTTTGACGAGATCTATTATAGTTGGTTAATGTTAAGTGTTCGTTGATACCAAATTTTGATAATACATTATTAAATTGCTCGTCAATATTTTTGTTTGGGTATTTATTAAGTAATAACGCCATTCTTAATTTTTCACGCTCGTTAAGATAAGTTTCAAAAGTTGAACAGTATCTAACAGCGCGTAGTAGCATGGCGAATGGAATATTCTTTTTCATATGTAATGGATGAATACTATTGAATGGCAAATAATAGGGTTCATACGATGGTTTCTGGAAGACTGTCGTATATAATTGTCCGTCTTGATTTTCTATACTTAAATCTAGGAAATTAACGATTGAACCAATATTTGCAGATAAATTAATATTTTCATCAAATTTATTCCATCTATCTACTTCTTTAAGTAAATGTCGAACAGGCCAATTAATAGTAATAAATATATCATCAATATATCGGAAATAAAGTCCACCACTATTTCGAATTTGATTGACTATCTGTCTTTCAAAAAAGTACATATAACAATTAGAAATAGTTAGAGTAAGAGGAGAACCCATTGCTCCTCCTCTTACTTGATGATAAAATTGGCCATTATAAGGGTGTGATATAGGCAACCATGACGCGTTTCGATCTTGCATAAGGATCTCATCAGATGGCATTAAATCAATATGATTACTTATATATATAAATGTATAAGAACCAAAAAGACTTATTCTAATTTATACTGTTATAGATAAAAAAAAATTTTTACAAAATTCTATTCTATAATGATAAATTTAGTTCACGGTAGTATGATATAGTCATTCGGAATAGATATATATGGGTGTGTGGTGTGAACAGCAACCAAGACCAGTTTCATCCTTGCTTAAGGGAATCATCAGTTGGCAAATAGTTTGCATGATTTAAAAATCACAAAATTTAATTATTCTGTTATATAGAAATTTTTTTTTAAATTCAAGTTTTTAAGAAAACTAAGATCGACACGACGCGTTTCGTCCTTTCTCAAGGGACTCATCAGGTATCTTTGGTAGCCTATAAATATTACATAAAATAATAACTCAATCAAAATTCAAAGAAAATTGAAGAAGTTAAAACTTAAACGTAATAAAATAAAAATAAAATTTCAATATATTAGAACAAACCTTAATATTATATTAACAAATAATTATCTAATCTCGATTACTTCGTAAAATTAAAGAATTCAAACTATTTATCAATTGATGTTAAAATTTACACTCATTTATTCATTGAACTATATCTAGTTCGTAAGTGGTTATAGAGGATGTGTTTTAATTTGAATGAATCGAGCATAAAATAAATGACATTGATCATTCTTCGAAATTAATCTTTGATTACTTCTAGGCAATGTCTTAATTTTAAGGTTTCTTAATGACTTATATTTAACGTTTCTTTCTTAATGGAATAATATTAGAGTTTTCTATCGAAAATTACTTTTTTGCTTAAGCAATGTACAAATGAATATACAAAAGTAAATTTACTTGTAAAATAGGTCAAAGTTCCCTGATGCTTATTGACAGAATATTAATTTACTTCAATATCACTCTTATCAATATTACAAATTATATCTAATCATAAATTATTTGCTTCATCTTCCCATAAAATAATGATGAACTAACTGATACAGTATAAATAACAATAATTTCAGACATGCAATTTTAATGATCCATTTCTTATTGCATCGAAAATCATATATAAACAAAGCAAATGGACAATAAACATTTTAAATGATAAACATAGGTTAGAATAATAATCAAAATACTTCGAATGTATTCAATATATACTCAAACAATAGCTTTCTAAACTAAATGAATAATCATTCGATGATCTATCTTCAATAAAATATTAAGATTGGCTTCTCTTTGATCTAGATTTAATAATTTAACGTCGATTCCGTTTATATACTACATTGATCTTCGATGAATTGATTCATTTTCTCAATGAATTGTTCCATTAATTCTTTAAGAGTAAAAGCATATGTTCTCATTTGATATAGAAAATATACTGAAAAATTGTTTTTATCATCAATAACCACTCTGTTTAGTAATATATTTTAGTTTAATCGTATATCTTTTAAAATAAGACCAATAAAATATAGCTCTAGTATCACTTTGTAGTATGTTAAGCTACCATGATATCGATATTTCATCTCAGCAACGAGACTTTTCAAATGGCAGTCATAACGAAAAAATTCAAAAGAAATTTTTCGAAACAAACTTAATTCAAGGGTGTGGGTGTGGGTGTGAACAGCTACCAAGACGCGTTTCATCCTTGCTTAAGGGAATCATCAGTTGGCAATTAATCTTAAATAATTTTTTGACAAAAATCACAAGATTATTTTATATCTGACATATATATAGAATTAAAAATTAAACTCATATAAATATGTTGATAAATTCAAATAACTGTAGTGTGAACAGCTACGATGATGTGTAGAGTTGTTTTCGCATGTTTGAATGTTAATTTTGTTTTGAAATGATTTGTGGAGATATATCTGAAACAAAAAAGAAAGTTAGAAAGTTTTTGGAAATTCGATTGGATTAATTTCTGAATAAGTATGATGTGATTTTATTTATTTTGAAAGGATACATTAATTAATTATTTATAGGAATTGTTTTCGATTTTTTATTAGTATGTTTTTATTGTTTTTTGGATTAATCATCCTGAGGAGAAAAACTTCCTGGTCATTGGTATCCGATCTATGGAGGCTTGATGATAGTTGTAGTTGGTAGTCGAGTTGTTTTTGGCTTTTCGAATTTTCCTAATTAATGGTAGCAAAAGAAGTGTTTTAATTTTTTATGTAAAGCTATGAGATAAATTATTTTTGGTACAGTTGTTTGACTTACTTTTGGTTATTGTTGAATTCTTTAACAATGCTTGCTTCGGTCGTTTGCGTATTAGCTCATTGTGTGCTTGACGACGGATGCGGTTCCCTACGATTAATTTTGTGTACATTGCTGGTGTATCTTTAAATGTATCGTGGTATACTTGATGAATATCTCGTTTGCATGTTTTGAAACGTTTTTCATATGTATAATGAGTGAAGAATTTTTCGTTGATGTTTAAGTTTTTTTCTTCAGATTTTTTTGGGTCTGGGTTTGGTTGTTGTCTCTCATCATCATCTAGTGGATCGTTGTCAATGTCAGCCAATGCTGAACTCAGTGCCACTTGTGTTTGCCAAGGTGTTGGTTGACCTGATATTTGCTTTCGCATAAGAAAATATTTTTTGTGTTCGTCATCAATTAATGGTAGAAATGGTGATTTTGATATATATTGCGAAAAATATTTGTGAAACTCATTTTCAATAAATGTTGATGGATAACTAAATAATGTACGATTAAAATAGAATAAATTTTTGAATAAGAATTGAAATAAAGACTTACTCATTGTATAGTAACATCAATTTAATGGAACGTCGTTCATAATTGAATGCTTCAAATGTTGATGAATATCTTGTTGCACGTTCAATAAAATTTTTGATTATATTCGAAAAAACATGTCGAGGATGATCAGATGTAAATGGTGTAACATATGGTTCAGCTGAAGGTTTATGATATACACATGTTGATAGTATGCCATTATTATTTGTAAGTTGTACATCAAGAAATGGAAGACTATAACCAATTTTATAGTCTAATTTAATATTGGGATGCCATGTATTCACATCATCTAATAATTTTCTTAATTATTCTTCAGATCTATTCCAAGTCATAAAAATATCATCAATATATCTACAAAGAAAAAAATTAGATAATCGTCATTATTTAAAATTCAAAATTTCTGGTCACTTACCGTCCATAAAATTCACCTGTCTTCGTTTGTTCTTCAACAATATTTTTTTGCCAATTTGACATAAATATATTAGCCAAAGTTAATGTCAATGATGAACCCATAGCACCACCAGTTGTTTGTTTATAAATTTTTTTACCATAAGCAAAAATATTGTCTTGGAGAATAATTGAAGCTAATCTTTTTATTGTATCAATACTAATTCCTTTCACTTTTCTATAACCATGAGCATGAAGAAATGTCATAAGAATATCTAATGTTTCTTCTTGTGGTAACATTGTATATAAATTCCGAATATCAAATGTACAAAAAAGAGTTGTTGGCTTTAAGAGACCTTTTTTGTTATATTTTGAAAGTTCAGTAATTAAAGAAGCGCCATCAATAATAGTTGTATCCTT